GTCTGTGCGGGGGGTCTCATGGGATCTCATGTGACAAAATCTATTTTTAGTAATAGTGCAAGACGCTATTACTTAACTGAATACGTTGTGCTTAAGCAAAAAATGATATTTCTTACATGGAGCTGCTAGAAAGTGTAATTTTTGTGGGCTTTTACCAGCGTAGAAAACTCTATTCCAAAGTACAGGAAGTTGTTACTAATTACAGCTTTTTGGAGTGGAAACTGGGGGCTCTGAGCATGCGCAGGAATTTTTTTATCTTTCCATTTCAACTAGCTTTTCATTGGTAGTTAAAATAGATGAGGTAAACAGCTGTCTAAGGCCCGGTAGTGCCGATGCGAAAATGAATGATTTTCCGGGGCTTTTCCGCAATCAAGAAATAAATTTGATGGCCCTCTGCAATTTAGGGGGAGTTTGTACAATGGGGTTTGCGACTTGCCACTTGATTTTCAAAGGAAAAGCTGAGTTCAGTTTGGTTTAGTTTTGTCAATGATTTGTATTCAGTGGAAGCCCGCCTTACGGTCACCTCGTTAATACGGTCACCTTGTTATTCCGGCCCCTCCATTTTGTCCCGCCGTAACCCCATATATTTTTTTTTTTATATAAGAAAACCCCGCTTATACGGCCAACGGCCACATTCTGAAATCTCAACCTGTATAATCCTCTATAATTTTACCCCGTTTACGCGGCCAACCAGTTATGTTCATCTTTCCATTGTTAATATTGTATGTAGTGACTGAAGTTTCAACTTTTTTGAAAAATTATGACTGCATTTCGAATGCTTATTTTGAAAAGGACAGTTGTTTAGAAGTTCATTTGTGATGTCTGTCAAGACGTCACCTAAAATAGATCTAGACCAGTCATGAAATTTGATCCACCTCGTTAATACGGCCAAATTTTCTTGGATGTTGGCGACCATTTTAACGGGCTTCCACTGTATATCAAATAAAGATCACTAGGATGGCATAAAGATGCACAGACAGAAGTTTCTCTGAATTGTTGACCCGTTCATAGAGGCCGATGTTCACTGATGAATTTGCTTAACTTTCACCAGTAGTATTTGTAGAGCTTCAGGACAGTTTATACGCTGACAGCATGCAAAGTTTGCTGCTCTTTAAATTAAACAAAGTGCTGTTCTCTAGAAATCTCCTCCTGGCTGAATAGAAAAGAATAGTTGTCATTTCTTTTTGTGTTCAGCTCTTCAGAAAAGAGAAATGGTCGCTTTAATTTCATCAAACTTCAAACGTTTTAAAAATCCTCTTGAAGTATATAGAAGGTTCATATTTCTGCAGCTGCGAGTGTGAAATGTTATTAATTACTAGCATGTCAAAATTAAAAGTGACAAGTTCCTTCTGTCAGTCTTGGCGTGTAATTTAAAAAGTCGAAAAACATGCATACAGTGCTGTCAAAAGCAAACGGGTTGTTTTTTCGAGGTAGATTGAACGAAGCTTCATTACTTCAGTACTTTTCGCAGTAATGATAACCCTTAACTCTGAAGAGGAAACGCAAAACTCGGTTGAACAGCTATACTGTTCGGCTAATCTAACTGCTGAAATACACGGCCAGTTGACATTCATCTCAGTTTTAAACATTTTTGGGTCCGTTGCTGCTTTTCTTGGAAATGCTCTGATCCTAGCCGCTCTTCGCAAGGAGTCTTCACTTCATCCGCCATCCAAACTCTTGCTAAGTAACCTTGCAACAACTGATCTCTGTGTTGGTCTGATTCTCGAGCCTCTTACCGTTATCTATTTAATGTCTGTAGTGAATGAACATTGGAAAATTTGTCGCTACGTATCAGTCATACGGTTTGTGATAGGCGTTGTTCTGTTCGCAGTGTCTCTGTTGATACTGACTGCAATAAGCGTGGACAGACTTCTCGCCCTGTTGCTGGGGCTGAGATACAGACAAGTTGTAACTCTGAAGCGCACCTATGTGATAGTCGTTACGTTTTGGGTTGTGTCCACTGCTCTGACGGGAATGTCTTTTTTGAATCCTTTTATAATTTTTTGGTACATGAACATAGTTGGGTTATTCTCTCTAGCAACTTCGATATTTTCTTACACAAAGATTTTCTTCACCCTCCGTCATCATCAAAATCAAGTACAAGACCATGTTCAACAACCGAACCAAACAGATGAACTGAACATAGCGCGATACAGAAAGGCAGTGTGCAGTGCCCTGTGGCTGCAGTTCACGTTAATGGCTTGTTTTCTACCCCATGGAATAGCGCTGGTGTTCTTTGCTAAAGCAGTAATATCACCATCTGTTTATCTCGTTAACCTGTATACAGTGGTTTTAGTTTACTTAAACTCGTCACTAAACCCGATTCTTTACTGCTGGAAGATAGATGAAGTGAGACGAACAGTAAAGGACACAATCAGACAAGTACTTTGCTATTCATGCAGTTAGCACTTCTGTTCATCTTTCCATTGTTAATATTGTATGTACTGACTGAAGTTTCAACTTTTTTGGAAAATTATGACTGCATTTCGAATGCTTATTTTGAAAAGGACAGTTGTTTAGAAGTGCATTTGTGATGTCTGTCAAGACGTCACCTAAAATAGATCTAGACCAGTCATGAAATTTGATCCACCTCGTTAATACGGCCAAATTTTCATGGATGTTGGCGACCATTTTAACGGGCTTCCACTGTATATCAAATAAAGATCACTAGGATGGCATAAAGACGCACAGACAGAAG